AACAACAACTGTGGCCACATAAGCAATATATTTTCAGAAAGGAACACCCTTAACACCAAATGTACAAGTCATACATATTTCATAGGGATATCTCTTAGCATTTTTTTATAAGGCACAACTCATAAAATATATAAGGATACTCTTTCTTCATTTCTTCTTCGGCCTCCCAAGTAGCCTCTTCAACCTGTTAGTTTCGCCATAGCACTTTCACGGATGCAATTTCTTTATTTCTCAACTTTCGGATTTGCCGATCAATAATAGAAACTGGAATCTCTTCATAAGTCAATTCTTCATTTACCTCAATAGTATCGACCGGAACAATGGCTGTCGGGTCTCCAACTACTTTCTTTAACATAGACACATGAAACACTGGGTGTACTAATGACATCTCAGGTGGTAGCTCAAGCTTGTACGCCACCTCACCGATCCTCTGAAGGATTTTGTACGGTCCGACATACCTCGGACCCAATTTCCCTTTCTTACCAAATCGCATTACACCCTTCATGGGGGAAACTTTCAAGAATACCCAGTCATCTTCTTTGAACTCCAAATCCCTATGACGAACATCCAAATAGGATTTCTAACGACTCTGAGCAGTCTTCAACCGCTCCTTAATGATTTTAACTTTTTCATAGCCTGATGCACAAAGTCTGGCCCTATCAAATCTGCTTCCTGCTTCCCCAATTTCGAACCACCCAATGGAAGATCTACATCTCCTACCATATAATGCCTCGAACGGTGCCATCTGAATGCTAGCATGATAGCTATTATTATACGCAAATTCTATAAGTGGTAAATAATCATCCCAGCTACCTTTGAAGTCTAGCACACAAGCACGCAATATATCCTCAAGCGTTTGAATAGTCCGCTCTGCCTGCCCGTCAGTTTGCGGGTGAAAGGTTGTACTAAGATTCACCTGAGTACCCAAACCTTGCTGAAATCTCTTCCAAAAATTAGCAGTGAATTGTGCTTCCCGATCAGAAATGATGGAAACTGGGGTGCTATGCAACCTGACTATTTCTTTGATATACAATTGATCATATTGCTCCACTATGTCGGTAGACTTAACCGGCAAAAAGTGTGCTCATTTCGTGAGTCGATCCACAATCACTCAAATCGAGTCAAACTTAAGAGGAGTACGAGGCAATCCTACCACAAAGTCCATATTAATCATTTTTCACTTCCATATTGGAATTTCTATATTCTGTGCCAACCCACCGGGCTTCTGGGGTTCGGCCTTCGCCTGCTGACAATTGGGACATCTCGCATAATGCATAATGCACCGCATAACAGTTATGCGATCGCATAGTTGACCGCATAGCTTCTTCCAGAATAGCCCTCACCTGCTCACTTATGTGGCCATTATGCGGCCCATAGAGTGATTATGCGGTCGCATAATGGACCGCATAAATGCACTTTTCCGGCAAAAAAATTCTTTACTTTCCTGTGCATTGTTCGGCCCAAAAGGTTCGAGCCACGGCGAGCTTGCGAGTTACAAGTAAGCATAGTCCGCCACCATGAAATAATATTTTCTCTGCAAATTTTACCAGGCTTTACACTTAAGTAGTTCGAAATTTTCTGGGGTGTTACACATGTAGTCCTGAACGTAGAGTTACAAGTTAAAAAGTTAAGGACATGTAGTCCTGAACTTAAAGTTACAAGTTCAAAAGTTAAGGATAGGAAGTCCTAAACTTAGAGTTACAAGCTCAAAAATTAAGGACATGGTGTCCTTAACTTAGTGTTACAAGCAAAGAAATTAAGGATATTATTAACTTAGTGTTACAAGCAAAGAAATTAAGGATATTACCTTGATGTCATTTTGAATCCTTTTTTCTGATAAAGCTATTTTTTGATGTATTCTAGTACATTTTGCCTCCATATCCTTTTTCAACTTCTCCGATAATCTCTGAATCAAAAACCATAAAAACAAAAAAGTCTCTTAAGCAATAATAAGCAAATAAAAAACTAATGATATTCAAAGACAGAAAACCTACGTTAACAATTTTCTTAAGCAGAACTTCATTAAATTGTGTTGAAGGCATTGAACTTTGATCTTGAGACAATGGCACATGCATACTAGCGGGCTCCGCATCTACTTCAGAAGAAAGAAATGGTACCATCTCGAGCAACTGATACAACTATTATATAAGAAAAAAATTTAAGTATTCAGAACTAAAACACATAAATAAAAAAATAGCTAGTAATCCTATTAACTTACTTTTTCATTATGGAAGTACTTTTTACATATGGTGTCATAATGTGGAGATTTCATATCTGAATAACATAGCATCCGGGGGAACCCACATTCTCTGAAGTTCACAAATTATTTTTCCTGAAAAATTGGGAATACTTCCATAATCCAAACACAGAAGGCGAAAGGGAAGCCAAGTATAGTATAACTGTCCTTCTCTTTATCTTTCTCTTTCTCATTCTCATTCTCATTGTCTGAAGTATTTTGTTTGGGCTTCAAGCAACTCTTCAATGATTTTAGTAACTTTTCATAACAAAGAGAGCCCTAATTGAAAGAAGAGCAGAGTTCATCGTCATCTACGATTTATTTTACCCGCTCAGACATATTCCAATTCTTACGCTTCCCCATCAATACAGATTCAACAAAATAAATTGTTGCCAACTTCACCGCATCGTCATGGCTGCCTACAAATGATGCAGTTGTACCATATGGGTGACTAGTAATAAAATGTCACAAATCGCCTAACTCGATTCTATCCTTTCCAGGGAAGTAGACTTTCGAAAGCCTATTCTCTCTTTCATGTAAAACTTCGAAGTCCACTGAAGAAGAACATTTCAACCCAGTAATTATCTGGAACGCTTCACGTGAATGTCATTGAATGCGAGTCATTGCTTACAATTTCTGAAAGCAACACCCAATGAATAAGTCTACCATAGAACTTCACACTTTGTAATCGGAAAAAGTTTCCGAAAACAACATCCCTCAACTTCTTCCATTGTGTGTTCGACAAGAAACTTTTTATTGTTTTCTTATACTAAAAATCTCCTTTCCAATAGCTCATCGAATAATGCCAATCATCAAACTCGAAAACACGATCTCCTTCCATTAGCACACTACAAAGAAGGAAATAGAACGTAAACATTAGGACTATTTTTCTGAAATGTCCTTAATATTTAAACTACAAACTAAAATTCAGGACCTAAGTAGATGCATCTTTAATAGAAGACCAGTAAACTAAAATTAGCTTACAAATTCTTAAGACTATTTTTCTGAAATGTCCTTAATATTTAAACTACAAAACTAAAATCCAGGACCTAAGTAGATGCATCTTTAATAGAAGAA